ACAAACGAGCACACAGCCTACTTCATGGTATGTGTATACTGTAAATTAATTTATATTTTCATCTTACTTCCTCCTAAGAATGACAAGTTATGTATGAAAAATAAAATGCTAAATCCTAAAAGCCACTAAGACAAAAAATAAGGGTAAGTAATATATTAACTTTGACCTCCTAATACATTTATGGAAATGTACTGTATGTGTAGCCGTGGTAGCTCAGATGATTAACGGTCGCTGTAAATATCACAGTACGCCAGTAACCCTGGTCATATCCCTGCCGGCACCAATGAAATTGTTATATATCGGGTGTAATTTTAATTTTTTTACTATATTGTTGCGTGCCATAATTAATGCCTGGCAAAAAAATTACATTTGATCAAGAATAATGTTTTCAGAAATTTTACTAAGTGTTGGCAGTACAGATATAGGTCTAAAATTGGCGGGGTCCAATGTATTACCAGTTTCAAAGAAAGGTATTACTTTACTATGCTTCACTAAATCAGGAAACACACCAGATTCGATAATAGAAATAAAAATAGTAGATAGTTGAGATGTTATCATGCAATAACTTTAAAGAAAATACCACAGAGATCTGCGGTTTGATAATATCGAAAGTTTTAAAATATTTTACAATATCCCTTGATTATTCTCTATGAAATGTACAATTATTTTTACACGCATTTATATTTTGTTTGAAGTAATGATTCAGCAACAGCAGGAGAAGAATTCAGTGACTTAGTGGATAAGATAGGTATAACAGTAAAATATTTCTCAAAAACCATTATCCTAATCTGATTTAGCACATTTATTGTTAAATTTTAACTGATAGTTCGAATTGCGAGATTTGACCTTACCACTTTCACTAATAATTATACTCCATGTCATTTTCATTTTTATTAGAAGCCGTCTTTATTTTGTTACCCAAATACAAGGACTTGCATAAGAAGCACATTCTTTTAAATATTTTAGAATATTTTTTACATATTCCTTAAGTTCGAGGCTAGGATTATATGACCTTTCACGGTAAAGTTATAACCTTTTTTATGTTGTTGTTGTTGTTTTTTTTTTTTGTTGTTTTTATTTTTGATAATCTTTGGCTGCGCTTATGGACTCGTACTGTTGCCCATTCATTGCATACTTTGCGATTGTTCAAGTAAAAAAAAAAGAATATTTTAGAAGTAACAGTATGATCAAATTCATTGTAAATAAGCTTGAATAATGTTCCACACAAAACATTTTGGATTATTTTGCTATGAAAGTGATGGAAGTTTTTTAAACTGTATACTTCTAAACTTCTCCAACGACGTGCGTTTACTGGAACAAACACAACTTTTTCATCTTTTTGCTTTTTGTGAACGAAAGTAAACAAAACTTATTGTTCACACTGATCAGAACTCAACCGATGACTGTTTTATTTATAGAACGGCTTAACATTTGTATAAATGTTATCCAAAAATAAATTAAAAAACTATATTATTTAAACTATAATCTTAATTTAATAGTTATGGAGGAAGCTTCTAGAAGATTGATTTTAAAGTCTCCACACATAACAACTGATTGATGATTCTGTTTATTCAGCTTAACAAAAACGTCCTTCATAATGTTTTCAAAAGTATCGTATATAGAATATGGGGGGTCTGAGATGCTCACAACAATGAGGTGCTCAAGCTTAATACATACTATTTCTACAGTTCGCTCAACAGAGGGGTTCACAATATCTTTATGTTTTATTCATTATAATAATATACAAGATAAATTAAGGAGCCACTTCTTAAAACCGTTTCTCTTCTGAAAGCACTGACCATCTGGTGATTACTGAAGTTAAACATTATGTTATAAGCTTTTAACCAATGTTCAGTAACAAATAAAATATGATAGTTTTTGCTATTTAAGATCAATTCAATTTTTTTTATAGAATAATGGTGACAAACGAGCACACAGTCCACATGATGGTAAGTGGATGCTGTGATTCATAGACATCTACATTTATCCTGCATTAAGAAGCAAAACGCAGAATCGTTGTCACCCCTGAGGACTAAGATGGAATGCCTCGTTTCTAGTAAAAAGAGGTCTCCGGATCTCTACACTCACCATACGAAACACAGCAGTATTAAACTGCTACTTTATTCTTATTATTATAATTCCTTCTATTCTTTACATACGTTTATGTAATTTTTATATTAATTTTAGGTTTAATTTACTTTTGCACTTTTGTAACATATTAATTATTACGTATTTCTTAAGGTTTCTTTTACAAGTTTTCTTTTGCAAGTAATTCGATCTTTACATGTAATACTCACTTAATTTTTAGGTATATTATCATCGAATTGTAATAAAAGAGGTAAAGAAGGGTAGCTAGGAGACTTATAGCACAGGGTAACATAGTTTGAGCTCCTGTCTCCCAAAAGAACTAAAAATACTTTAACTACATACTATATTTATGAAAGAAATGTCACTGTGTAGGGAGGCGATAATAATATTAATAAATATTTATTTCACCACATTTTACACAGTGACATTTCTTTCATAAATATAGTATGTAGTTAAAGTATTTTTAGTTGTTTTGGGAGACAGGAGCTCAAACTATGTTACCCTGTGCTATAAGTCTCCTAGCTACCCTTCTTTACCTCTTTTATTACAATTCGATGATAATATACCTAAAAATGAAGTGAGTATTTCATGTGAAGATCGAATATAAAGTTTCTAAAATGTAGATAACGATAAAAAACTCATTGAGTATATGTAGCATGCAATATTGTTGAAAAAAATCTATAAAATCTAAATAATGTATGTATATATATATATATATATATATATATATATATATATATATATATAGCGTTCCACCCGACAAAGCAAAAATTCCTTCGTACGATATTAAAATACTACACAAGCCACTCGTCGACGCAAATTAATGGCAATCGAAGTTAAGTTAGTCACTCAAACTCAAGGAAAGCCTCGTTGTCACGTATATGAACGAAATAAGACAACGCAAAGGAGGCAGTCTTAATGCGACGTAACGATTCTCCGTCGCGGACAAAGATTGTTCTAGACTAATTGGCGAGGCCGCAGGCCGCACAACGAATGCCCCCGGCGCAAATAACGTCAAACCGGTTTCTCACCCAAGACGAGCGTTTTTCCAAGTTTTAAGTTGTTACGATTTGGCCTAAACTTTTTAAACAAAGGCAGAAGGATCAAGTATATATCTTGTTTTAAAAATTACAAAAACCTCCTTTTAACAATGAAGATTAAATAAAGGTTAATATTTCCGGCTAAAGTTTCGAAACATTTCTATCCAGCTTCAGTTTTGCATCCGACTTGAACTCATCCGTTCGCTGGAGCTTTACGTAAAAACATTGATTCCCCTAATACTATGACTAATGAACTACTTGTCCAACTTCATACATAAAAATATATTAATTTCATCGAGTTCTATTCTATACCACTGAAGTTGAAGCATACGAACTATCGTTTAATTGAAAATAAACAACGAAATTGGTAATGGAGTTCTATATTATTCTTCTTCTATACAATTCGCACATAGTCTTCTTTTGGCGAAGCATCGAGCCATGCTCTGCAGATGGACCGGTAATCGCTGTGCCAGATATCTCTCACCTATTACTGCTTTTTATCATAAATCTGGGTACTTAAGGGCCAGTATTAGTAATTAGTAAGTAGTACAGCTAAATAATATCACAGAGGCAGTTTTTAAGTTTGACTGGTGCTGCAGTAACTCAAGGGCTAATCGCTCGACGTAAAGAACAATGGCGAACTACCAAACTATGATAAATTGTTGCTAAAACAACAAATAGTCTATACAATTTTTAATTATCTTAATTATTAACATAGAGGGAATTCTAAAATAATGCATAAGTATATTGAGATTTCTTTGTGAACAAAATATACATCAGACTAGGCTGTATGGTATAAACTTTTACCTTAATTGACGAATCGTAACAACTACAACCATTAGTCAATTTAGTTTTAAATTATCTCTGATGATTTTTTCCAGACTTAGATAATAAACCGGGAGCTGGTGACAGGTGACGTTCCACAATTTTGTCGTGCATGCCTTTTTAAGGCTTGATAACTAACCCTAAAATATCAAAGATTGTCGGGGCTTTAGTCCCCCCGCGCGTCCTCTTCATAAGGAAAAGCGCTTTTCTTTATGTAGCGAATTTTCTAGGAAATTCCAGCAAATTGAAGCTCTAATAATTGATGGCATGCACCCCGCAGCGGCCCAAGATTAAAGGTCAATTTCGTGTCTTCAAATTGCATGCCGATGTAAAGAATGGAAATTTTTGTAATAAAAACACTCTGGAAAAATTGGCATGCACCCCTGGTATGACCAACGGTGGAAAATTTCCGGAAAACCCTGTAAAAATTGAACTCCGATTTTCCGTGATTCCAAATTACTCCTAATAAGGATGAATATTAATTTTATAACGAAGTAATTAACTAATTCAAATGGCATGCATGTTGAATAAGCCCATCGTATTATAATAAATAATAAAAGTTGCAAAAAAGATAGTGCAAATTTAGGTGACTTGTTTTTGCATGCAGTTTTGTATTTCATGAATTTACATTATTTCAATTCATTAACGTAAATAGCATGCATGTAGCTACAGCCCAACATACCAAAATTCTGAAAATATTAAATAAACATCAATTTTTCAATTGAAAAAAATCTGAAAAATGCCGTTACTTCTTATTGCATGCCGCTTTGTATTTTGTTAGTAGATACTATTTCAAGTTGAAATGCAGAATGGATGTATGGATGGATGTAGCTTTATGACAATTGATTAAATAAACAAAAAAAAAATGGTCCGTATTATCATTTTTTTTCTAAATTTTTTATGAAATATGAAAGTAAAAAATTATTAGCGGCATCATTATTTTAAACGTGAAGTATTATTAATTATCATTATCATCAAACGCTTCATCATCATTATCGACATTATCATTATCATTATCATCATCATCATCATCATCATCGCAGCTATTTACGGACTCGTTGTGTAGCTAATATCGGATTGGCAATCGCTGTCATCGTCATTATTCAATTCGTCATCCTCTTCATCATCAAAATTTGGATACATCGATATGACTTCCTCGTTATTAGCGCCGCTTTCTTTTGGGGCTATGAAAATTAAAGAAAAACATGTTTTTCAGTTATTATTCTGACTTTACGTAGTTGTTAACCATAATTAAAAAAACAACTGATCGTACAGTAATGAAGTTTCTAGTAGAATAATGACCTCCAATGTGAAAAGATAAAAGCATGAGTAGAAAGAAATAAGTACTTTCAATAATTTCCTGTACATTAGGAGGAATGTCATCACCCTCGAACCACCGGAAGGAATAGCTGTTATTTTCCAGTTTCCAGCCGAATTCCTCTACATTCAATGAATCGTTGGGCACTGGAGAAAAAGAATTTTTCCACATATATCCAATGTACGCTGCTCGAAGAAGTTGTTGTTGGAGTTCACGTTTACAAGGTGGGAATATGCAAGCATCGAAATTCCAACTTTTGCTTGAACTCATCTGTGGGCTCTATTTTGTTTGTATATGTTTGCGTAAATATTCGTAGACGAGCCTCGTCTACATTAGAGCATTTTCTGAGGCCATTTTTCGCCGTTACGTACATTTTGCATACAAAGTCCTCCAGCGTGGTAAATGCACTTTCGTAATTGTCGCTATTTGGGCTTTGCAATGCGATGAAAGCTCTTGGAAATCTTCATTGGCAGAATACTGTTCCCACGGTTTCCTTTTTTCCTTGCGGTAAAATTCAGGCTTGAAATCGCAGCCGGTTAAGGCATGGAAAGCCGGTAAGCCTGAGCATTTTTTGCTTCCCAATACGTCATACACTTTATTCATGTTACATTAACGACGATTATTTCCGACGCCAAATAATGTCCAAACCTACAGTGACTGTGGCATTTTTTCCATGTTTGCAAGAACGATGACGATGATATCTGTGTCAGAGCATTTGATCACTACTTCTTTTGCTTCTTTAAGTTGACACAGGAAAAACCCCATTTTTGTGTCTGCTTCCTCGTGGCATTCGCATTTTAAATTGGGCATTACCTCGCAAACAAGTGACGATGTGCCATCTACTTTTTACCGTAGACATCTCTCGAAAGAAGCATATAGTTGCTTATCTCCTATTATATCCGTCACTGATGATTCTGACGTTGGGCGTCAGAATCATCAGTGACGGATAGTAGATAGTAGATGACGGTAGTCCATGACAAAGGGGATGAAGGATTTCGTGAAATTTATATTTTTAATTCTGTTGCGAAATCAGGTGGTCGCTTCTGATCTGCACTTAATAAAAATATTAGCTTCATTATAATAAAATTAATTAAAATCTAATTAAACTCTATTAATATTTTTATATATTTACCTTTGAACTCATACTTCGCAGTGAAATTATCTTATAGCTTATCAATAATCCTATAATTGTATTAAAATAAATTTTGTTAATATTTATTTCATATATAACTTATCTTACTCTTATAAAATACTAAACCTCGTTTTTTTGTTTATTTAAACAATTTTCATGAAGCTACATTCATGCCATTTCGCATTTCGGCTTAAAATAATATCTAATATAACACGATATAAAGCGGCATGCAAGAAGAAGTCACGGCATTTTTCAGTTTTTTGTTTCAATTGAAAAATTGATGTTTATTAAATTTTTCCACAATTTTGGTATGTTGGGCTATAGCTACATGCATGCCATTTACGTTCATGACTTGAAATAATGTAAATTCATGAAATACAAAACGGCATGCAAAAACAAGTCACCTAAATTTGCACAGTGTTTTTTGCAACTTTCGCCATGCATGCCTCTATTTTGCAACATCCTGGTGTGCATGCCAAATTTCCTACTATTAAATAATGATACAAATTAAGTATACTTTCAATAGCATGCAGTTTGGAATCACGGAAATCGGGGTTCAATTTTTACAGAGTTTTCCGGAAATTTTCCACCGTTGGTCATACGAAGGGTGCATGCAAATTTTTCCAGAGTGTTTTTATTACAAAAACTTCCATTCTTTGCATCGGCATGCAATTTGAAAACACGGAATTGCCCTTTAATTTTTTTCAGGTTTTCAGAACCCTTTGATCGTCTTGGGCCGCTGCGGGGTGCATGCCATCAATTATTAGAGCTTCAATTTGCTTGAACTTCCGTATATTACAATGGCATGCTGTATACTATCACGGAAAAACACGAAAATTCGCTACACAAAGAAAAGCGCTTTTCCTTATGAAGAGGACGCGCGGGGGGCTAAAGCCCCGACAATCTTTGATATTTTAGGGTTAGTTATCAAGCCTTAAAAAGGCATGCACGACAAAATCGTGGAACGTCACCTGTCACCAGCTCCCGGTCTATAAGTCATAAGCTTGATTAGTTTTCGCCATTGTCCTTTCACACTGCACGAGCAATTCGGGTTCCATCCCCGCCGGCTCTTTGTCATATTTTTTTGAAATGATTATATGATAATAAGTACGTGTGCATACGGGTACGGTGGCACTTACCGCGATTTTTATTGTAGATTTATATATTTTATATATGATTTATTGTAGATATTGTAGATTTCGACGTAATGGATTGCTTCTTTAAAAGTCTAATTACTTATATTACATTTTTGAGTAGACAAGCTCACTAATATCGTCTAAATAGTAAGTAAAACTTGATCCCCAATTTATCTAACTTTGGAGGTGACTTTCTTAAGATTATTTATACAATATATACAACTTTTCAACCTGTGTATCAACGGTCTGATCGTGGAGCTCAGTGATGCCGTAGTCGGCTGCTCAATTGACGGTCATTTTGTTAATAATATAAGCTATGCCGATGATATGGTGTTGCTTAGTCCTTCGATCAGGGCCCTCGAAACGCTAGTGGGCATCTGTGAAAGGTACGCGGCGGCTCATTGTCTCAGATATAATTGTAATAAGAGTGAACTACTCGTGTTTAAGGCTGGAAATAGAAAACCTAAGTCTGTTCCTCATGTTAAACTTGGAGGAGTTACACTGAGTAGAATCACCAAATTCAGATATCTGGGACACTGGGTCGCCGAGGACCTTTCTGACAATTTAAATGTTGAACGCGAACGTAGAGCGTTGGCAGTGAGGTGTAATATGCTTGCCCGCAGGTTTGCTAGGTGTACGAATGAAGTTAAGATAACGTTATTCAAAGCTTACTGTCAGACATTCTACACCTGCAGCCTGTGGACGAAGTGTACTCGCCGAATTCTCAATGCGCTACGTGTTCAGTACAACAATGGATTCAGGATGTTGTTGGGGCTGCCACGCTTTTGCAGCGAATCGCGTATGTTTTCTGAGGCAATCGTGGACAGTTTTGCAGCAATATTACGCAAAAGAATAGCCTCCTTAATGCGTCGCGTGCGAGACAGCACTAACGGCCTCCTAGCTTCCATATATGGAAGGCAAGATTGCCCTGTGATGAGGTACTGGAACACAGTGCATATGGGTTCCAGCCCCAATACGTTTAATAATAAATAATAATTTTTGTGTAGTAATAATTTATGTATTTTGTGAATCTACTAACCCCTCGTTTTTAAGTTTTTTTTAAGTTTTAAGTGTACTAACAAAATGGGTGTACTTACCTGAATAATGAAATAAATAATAATAATAATAATAAATAGGCGTAGGGAAGTGACGACCCCATCGCCCGCTGACGTAACGGTTATGTGACAAAACCGCTACGTCAGCGCAGTCAGTCAGCACCTTGCCAAGAGGTGTTAGTGCCGTGCCTCGGCAAAAATTGAAGGTGCAAAGGCCCGCTTGTGCACATGGCCTCAACATGAAACGGCGCCGGGTCTGGGCGTCTCCCGCTAAATGACGCCCTAAAAATGGATGATGGAATTAAATAGAACGCGCAAAGGGCCGCTGCCTGGAGGTCGCCAGGGCGCGTCTGGAGCTGGCGCTGGACGCGGCAGCATGCGAACCGCCAGCCGAGCGCGAGGTGCTGCACGACCACCCAGCAGCCCCTCGATTCCATCATCCCCACCAGCTGGCTTGGTGTCGGCAGGGTCTTCGCGGGCCCAGCAATCGGCACCCGCCTCTGGTGGAGTACGCCGCATGCGTTGGACAACCCAGATGAACAGCAACGCATTGCGGGCGTATTTTAGGGCGAAAGGGGGAGAAACTGGATGTTTGGCGTATCGGGCTAGGATGCATCGTCTTTTTGCTGAGCTGGAGCCATCTTTAACCGTCACAGAGCAAAACCTGGCAGACCGAGTTCGGTATATCTTGCGCTCAAATATATTTGATGTCGCCGAAGTCGAACGGCTACGACGTGAGGCTGTTCCCTCGTCGGATGAGAATGCTACGGCTGAGGATGCGGCGCCACAAATGGTAGAGCAACCCGCAAACGTGGATGCCGCCGTGAATACCCAAGTTGTGGTTGATTCAAGCGATGATGGAACAGTCACCCAGGAACTGGAATTAGAGCATATGAGGAGTACATTGGAAGAGGCGATTGTGGAAATGCGCAGTACGCCTCTCGAAAATCGACCCCGACTTCCCCGCATAGCCCTAAGCAAGCGGAATCGGGCTGTCGTGAGGGCTCTGAACCCAATGCTGGTGACCTATTTGGAAGCCAGCCGGGACCTTTTGCGAGACGGACTCAATTCTTTTGGCGCCGCACTGGCAGTCTGCCGTATCATAGGCGCCAAGGTTTCCACGGCTGGACGCGCTACTGACCATAGTAGCGCTATCCCAGCATGGAGAAGAAGAATTGAGGAACGTATCGCAAAGGCTAGAGCTCTCATCGGCAGACTGATATGCTTCAGATCAGGCAACAACAGGCCAAGAATTGTGCGCACCGTCAGGATGGCGTTTGCTGGGACAAATGTCAGTTTGTCCCAGCCGGATATAACGCAAAAACTGACGGAGCGCATAGATGATCTGAAGCAGAGAATCGCTGCTTGGGGAAAGCGGATTCGGCGATATACCGAGAGGTCGACACGGTTCAACCAGAATCGTCTCTTCCAGAGTGATCAGAAGAGGCTCTATGAATCATTGGAGCGACCAATGGTAAGTGGAACGGGTCCAGCACCGAATCAGGCCGACACTGTAGCATTCTGGCGCGGCCTGTGGTCAGAGCCCGTAAACCACAGCGAGGGCCCTTGGACGGAAGTTGTGGCGTGTCAGTGTGCGGGTATTACGCCCATGGACCCCGTCATCATAACGCCGGATGACGTAGCTGAGGCGGTCCGTAGGGCCCCGAACTGGAAAAGTCCGGGGCTTGTCGGGCTGCATCACTACTGGCTGAAGGGGTTCACTCTGTGCTCGCCCGACAGTTTCAAGAGGCTCTTAACCAGAAGTCGCTCCCAAGCCTCTTCACTACTGGGATCACTCATTTGGTTCCTAAAGACCAGGGTACCACAGACCCGAGCAAATACCGCCCCATCACGTGTCTACCGACCATATACAAGACACTAACATCCATTTTGAGCGCGAGAATCACTTGTCACCTGGACTCAAATCAGGTGATTTTGCGCGCTCAAAATGGATGTCGGGGCGGTGGTCGTGGAACCAAGGAACCACTCCTCATTGACGCGGTCATTGGCAAAGTGGTGAAACGCAACCGTCGGAACTTCTCCGCCGCCTGGATAGACTACAGAAAGGCATTCGACTCGGTGCCCCATACATGGCTAAAGAGAGTCCTCGAGCTGTACAAGATAGACTGTACAGTTAGAGACTTCCTCGAGCAGTGTATGGGGCAGTGGAGTACGATCCTTTGTCATCTGGGCGAGCGGATGATGGCTGCGGAGAACCACATAAGGATAAGAAGGGGTATCTTCCAGGGCGATTGTCTGAGTCCAATCTGGTTCTGCCTCTCTCTGAACCCTCTCAGTACCTTACTGGAGGGCTCCGGGAGGGGGATTTCAGCTACGGAAAGGAGGGACAAAAGTGACCCAACCTTTTCTATATGGATGACCTCAAGTTATTTGCCTCCAGTCGCTCCCATCTTATGGAATTGCTAAACATCACTTGTGAATTTAGCAATTCCATTGGAATGGAGCTTGGGACGGATAAGTGTGCGGTCCTCCATGTTGAAAGGGGAAGGGTTGCTAACTCTGAGGGCGTAGACTTATCTATGCACGTCAACTTAAGGACCCTTTCCGAGGCTGAAACATACCGATACCTGGGTATGTCACAAAACATCGGTATCGATGAGACTGGTATGAAACAGTCAGTTTGCGACGTGTTTTATGCACGCTTAACCAAAGTGCTTAACAGCCTTTTGTCCGGTGTGAATAAGGCACACGCATATAACGGCTGGGTCATGCCTGTCCTCATGTATACCTTTGGCATACTCAGGTGGACTCAGACTGAACTTAACGCCCTGGATAGAAAAGTCCGCACTACCATGACGTCCCATAGGATGCATCATCCGAGATCGTCGGTAATGAGGCTGTACTTGTCGCGGAAGCATGGTGGTCGTGGCGTCTTGAGCGCGCTCACCATGCATAATCGCGAAGTGTGCAGCCTCCGTGATTACTTCCTGGCGAGATCTGATGATCCATTCTATAAGGACGTCATTTCTTGTGATAAAGGACTTACCCCTCTATCCTTAGCCAACGAGCAATGGCAAGACCCGGCGGTGCAGAGCATTTCCGACCGGGAGACCGTATGGAAGGAGAAGGAGCTCCACGGGAGGTTCTACAAGGCTCTACATGAGCCTTTCGTAGACACAGTAGCCTCCCCTCCACTGGCTACGCTTTGGTGATCTCTTCGGGGGAAACCGAGGGTTTTGTCTGTGCAATACAGGATCAGGTTATTAAGACCAACAACTATCGGAGATACATCCTAAAGGATGGCACCGTCGACATCTGTCGAGCTTGTCGCCATCCCGGTGAGTCACTTAGGCATGTTATCTCCGGTTGTTCGGCGCTTTCTAACTCTGAGTACTTGCACAGGCACAACCTAGTAGCCAGAATTCTACACCAGGAGCTCGCTCTGAAATACGGTCTCGTGGATCGGAAATTGCCGTATTACAAGTACTTGCCTATTGGGACCGGGCCATCATCACAGACAGGACTATTCTTGCGAATAAGCCTGATATTGTGCTGATGGACCGGGCACAGTCAAGGATATTTTTGGTCGACATTACCATTCCGTATGACGAGAACCTCGTGAAAGCCGAAACAGACAAGCAAACAAAATATCTGGACCTGGCTCACGAGGTGACCGACTTGTAGGGTGGTCTGCCAACCGAAATTATTCCTGTAGTCGTCTCTGCAAACGGGCTAATCCCAGTCAGCCTCTCGGGTCATCTGAGGCGGCTGGGACTACGTGGCGGACCGCTCCATGTTCAAATGCAGAAGGCGGTGCTCCCCGATACCGCCCGCATCGTCCGCCGGTTTCTTTCCCTTTCCCCCCTAGCCCTCGGCCGTTTGGTCTCCCCTGCCGAGGGCCTCCATCTGGTTGGGCTTTTATTTATTTATGTACTTTTATATTTATTTTATGTTATTGATATTTATGTATATTTATCTTTTCATTTTCATTTATAATTATATATTTATAGAACCCAACCAGATGAGAAAACTATATAGATACCCCATAATAATAATAATGGCGTAGGGAATTGACGACCCCATCGCCCGCTGACGTAACAGTTAAGTGACAAAACTGCTTCGTCAACGCAGTCAGTCAGCGCCTTGCGACAGGTGTGAGCGCCGTGCTTCGGCAGAATTCAGGGTGCAAAGGCCCGTTTGTGCTTATAGCCGTCCACGATACGGTGCCGGGCCTGGGCGTCTCCCGTTAATGGACGCCCATATTATGGATGATGGAAAAAAAGATAGTGCGCAAAGGGCCGCTGCCTGAAGGTCGCCAGGGCGCGTCTGGAGCTGGCGCTGCACGCGACAGCATGCGGGCCGCCAGCCGAGCGCGGGGTGTTGCAAGACCATCTAGCAGCCCCCCGCATCCATCATCCTCACCAGAAGGCTTGGTGTCGGCTGGGTCTTCTCGGACTCAGCAAGCGGCACCTGCCGCTGGTGGAGCACGTCACATGCGTTGGTCTAAATCAATGAATGAAAACGCAATGCGGGCGTATTTTAGGACAAAAGGGGATGAAACTGGATGTTTGGCGTATCGGGATCTGAGGAAAACTTGGCAGACCGAGTTAGGTACATCCTGCGCTCCAACATATTTGGTGACGCCGAACTCGAGCGACTACGACGTGAGGCTATTCCTTCATCGAATGGAAATGCTACGGCTGGGAATGCGGCGCCACTAGATGCGCAACAAACTGCATATGTGGATGCTGCCGTCAACATTCCATTTGTGGCTAATTCAGACGATGATGGAATAGTCTTCCACGAACTAGAGAAAATGAGGAGCATATTGGAAGAGTCGATGCTGGAAACGCGCAGCATGCCTCCCGAAAATCGACCGCGACTTCCCCGCATACTCCTTAGCAAGCGAAATCGGGCTGTCGTGCGGGCTCTTAACCCAATGCTGGTGACCTATTTGGAAGCCAGCCGGGACCTTTGCGAGACGGATTCAATTCTTTTTGGCGCCGCACTGGCAGTATGCCGTATTATTGGCGCCAAACTTCCCGTGGCCGGACGTGCTACTCAAAAAAGTAGCGCCATCCAAGCCTGAAGAAAAGGAATTGAGGACCGTATCACAAAGGCAAGGGCCCTTATGGGCAGACTGACAAGCTTCAGGTCGGGTAATAATAGACCGAGGATTATGCGCACCGTTAGGATGGCGTTTGCTGGGACAAATATCAGTTTGTTCCAACCGGATATCACGCAAATACTAACGGAGCGCATAGATGACCTGAAGCAAAAAATTGCTGCTTGGGGGAAGCGGATTCGACGATTTAGCGAGAGGTCAAGGCGGTTCAACCGGAATCGTCTCTTCCAGAGTGATCAGAAAAGGCTCTATAAATCATTGGAGCGACCAGAGGTATGTGGAGCGGGCCCAGGACCGGATAAGGCCGACACTGTCGCATTTTGGCGTGGCTTGTGGTCAGAGCCCGTAAACCACAGCAAGGGCCCTTGGATGGAAGTAGTGACGAGCCAGAGTGCAAGTGTTACGCCTATGGACCCCGTCACCATAACGCCTGAAGACGTGGCTGAGGCGGTCCGTAGGGCCCCGAACTGGAAAAGTCCGGGGCTCGAAGGGCTACATCATTACTGGCTGAAGGGGTTCGTAGTGTGTCACGCTGTGCTCGCCCGACAGTTTCAAGAGGCTCTCGATCGGAAGTCGCTCACGAGCCTCTTCACTATTGGGATCACTCATTTGGTTCCTAAAAATCAGGATACCACAGACCCGAGCAAATACCGCCCCATCACGTGTCTACCCACCATATATAAGACACTGACATCCATTTTGAGCGCGAGAATCACTCGTCACCTGGAGCTAAATCAGGTGATGTCACGCGATCAAAATGGATGTCGGGGCGGTGGTCGTGGAACCAAGGAACCACTCCTCATTGACGCGGTCATTGGCAAAGTGATGAAACACAACCGTCGGAACTTCTCCGCCGCTTGGATAGATTACAGAAAGGCATTTGACTCGGTGCTCCATACATGGCTAAAGAGGGTCCTCGAGCTGTACAAGATTGACTGTACAGTTCGAGACTTCCTCGAGCAGTGTATGGGGCAGTGGAGTACGATCCTCTGTCATCTAGGCGAGCGGATGACGGCTGCGGAAAGCCGCATAAGGATAAGAAGGGGTATATTCCAGGGCGACTGTCTGAGTCCAATCTGGTTCTGCCTCTCTTTGAACCCTCTCAGTACTTTACTGGAGGGCTCCGGGAGGGGATTTCAGCTTCGAAAGGGAGGTACAAAAGTGACCCAACTTTTCTATATGGATGACCTCAAATTATTCGCCTCCAGTCGCTCCCATCTTATGGAATTGCTAAACATCACTTGTGAATTTAGAAATTCTATTGGAATGAAGCAGGTTATTAAGACCAACAACTATCGGAGATACATCCTAAAGGATGGCACTGTCGACGACTGTCGAGCTTTCCGCCATCCCGGGGAGTCACTTAGGCATGTCATCTCCGGTTGTTCGGCACTTTCTAACTCTGAGTACTTGCACAGGCACAACCTAGTAGCCAGAATTCTACACCAGGAGCTCGCTCTGAAATACGGTCTCGTGGACCGGAAATTGCCGTATTACAAGTACTTGCCGGAAGCCGTGCTCGAAAATGACCGCGCCAGGTTCTACTGGGACCGGGCCATCATCACAGACAGGACTATTCTTGCGAATAAGCCTGATATTGTGCTGATGGATCGGGCACAGTCAAGGATATTTTTGATCGACATTACCATTCCGTATGACGAGAACCTCGTGAAAGCCGAAACAGATAAACAAACAAAATATCTAGACCTGGCCTACGAGGTGACCGACATGTGGGGTGGTGTGTCGACCGAAATTATTCCTGTAGTCGTCTCTGCGAATGGGCTAATCCCAGTCAGCCTCTCGGGTCATCTGAGGCGGCTGGGACTCCGTGACGGACCGCTCCGGGCTCAAATGCAGAAGGCGGTGCTCCTCGATACCGCCCGCATCGTCCGCCGGTTTCTTTCCCTTTCCCCCTAACCCTCGGCCGTCTGGTATCCCGTGCCAAGGGCTCCCATCTGGTTGGATCTTATTTATTTATGTAGTTTTTGTATTTATTTTATTTTATTGATATTTATGTACATTTATCTTTTCATTTTAATTTATAATTATATATTTTTAGAACCCAACCAGGTGAGAAAATATATAGATACCATAATAATAATAATAATTTATATGTGAGCACTTCTACAGTTAAGCTTAATTAATACAAGAAATATCATAAAATCTATTCAGTCGTTTCCAAGGAATATGTGAAAATACTCAGACAACATACGCATCGACTATAGTAACATTTCGTTTTTTTAATCTCAGTTAAAAAGAAAAACAAACGCTACTGAATAGCACCCGGCATAACTCAAAAATATGGAATACTTTCACGCTCTGCGTCGGATGAACGTACCGAGTATAGTGAAATAAAAAAATGTATGCACTCAGTGCACGAATAGTGTCGAGCATTTTTATTTTTTTATTACGAAGCTTTGACATAGTTTTATCGCATAACAAAATTTCACAGAGTGTTCGATGTATTAATGTTTATCTAAATTTCTCATAGTATTAATTGTCATAATATTAACATACATTTTTACCTCGGTGCAGTTACGTTACATTATGATTGTAGCATAAATGTGTTGGCTCGACCGAGGTAGGACTACGCTCTCACATAATATCAGCGTGAAGTAGCATATTAATGCAGCTGTGTTTCGTATGGTAAGTGTAGAGAACCGGACACTCATTTAACTGGAAAGAGGTAATTCATTTTAGTTCTCAGGGGTGACAACACATCTGAATTTTGATTCTTAATCGAGGGTAAATCTATGATGATATGATATGATGATAATCTAAAAGTCTATCGACCGCAGCATTTGCTTACAACCAGGTGTATTGTGTGCTCGTTTGTAACTCTTATTCTATTTAAAAAATCTCGAGAACTTTGTCTGACTTTAAAAAGAAGTAGGTTTACAATTCGACCGTATTTCTTTTGTGTATATGTTACGCGATGTTTTGCTTACTTACTTAAAGAATCATACAAATCGGTTTAAAAACCGATTTGTATGATTCTTTGATTAAAAGGATATAGTAAAGGCTGGTCTCGTATTCATTTGGATAAAACTTCCACTCAAATAATGGCAAAATAGGGAATAAATTTTGATGTTACTTATATTTTTTAGAAGAGGGGGCAAACGAGCATGCGACTCACCTGATGGTAAGTGACTAACGCCGCCCATGAACAACCGCAACACCAGGGGAATTGCAGGTGCGTTGCCGGCCTTTTAGAAAGGAGTAAGCTCTTTACTTGAAGGTCCCTAAGTCGTGTCGGTCCGGAAAAGTTGCCTAGTAAAAATTGAGCAATTTCACAGAGAGGTTGTACGAAGAAGAAAATAAAGAATAATATAAAAAAGAAAGTAAAATCCCATTTCGAATATCCCCACATTCGTATATGCCCTGACTTTAAAATAATTTCAGATTCTGAAATTGGGGATTTAATTCTTCCTAACAATATATTTTAGTACTGTCTTCGGAATATAAACATATTTTACTGTTTATTATCTTCGGTGAATTGGAAGTCAGCTTTTTAAATAATAATGAAATTACTCTTTTATCACGACTCATTAAAAAATTTCTATTGCACCAAGGACATCTTCATTATACTTCAACTCTTTAGCCCTCCCTCAATAGCGTGCAATATCCCCGTCAACACTAAACCGACACACCACCTACGATAATACGACACGTGTTTCCCGTTTACACGAGGCATCCTCAGGTGAAGTAGACTCTGCGGTGGCTGGCCGCTAAGTGAGCGGTGAACCAATAAGCTGCTCCTTATACAAATCACGGATATGAGCGAAGTAATTCTTAACAAGTTTAATGATTCTACTGTAAATACACATTTATAAAACACGTTCATGGAGTATTTTTTTTTACTATTATATGTCAGTTCTTGTCTACTATCCCACGATGGTAAGTGACGATGCAGCCGAAGTTGGTAAAGCGCATTGACTTAACTTATAGTTGACTTGAATCCGATTATTCACACATCTGGAAGTGGGTGAAAATTGAAATGCGAAATTATATTAAATTTATAAATATTATATAGATACTCAGGTAGAGTTAATATAAAGCGTGTAAAAAGATAATCGGCAGCTTTACATAAGAAGAAAAGATTAAACCTAGAGGTATGATAGAAGTAACTTTATAATGGTTGTAGCACAAAAGGGTGAGCTCAACTGCAAAAGGACCACGCTCTCACAGAATACTAACGTAAATACGACAGCTCCGTAGCGCAGTGGTTTAGCAACGAGCTGCCGCGTTGGGTATCGCGAGTTCGAACCCCGCAGTGAATAACTATTTGCATGGTTTAAAAATAATTGATCCGGGTGTCGATGTTTGTTTTTATGAAATATATGTATGCAAACTGCACCCACGATACTGGAGAACTCCTAGTATGGAGGTAAATTAACACATTTCTATAAAAAAAATCCAGTGTAAGGTTGTAGTATTTCGTATGGTAAGTGTAGAGAACTAGAGACTCCATTCACATTCAACTGTAGTTTTTTTAATTGTTATTCTGAAGTCGCTGCTGCCGATCTCCTTATTTGTTTCTCCCTGTCCACTCTAACGACACAACTACCTACCCCAGGTGAATGTACACACGTAAATCACAAAAAATTGTACAGGTTGCCTATGTTTCGTCTGAAATAAGTAGGTAGTTAAGCATATTTTATATCAACGTGAATTATTAATTTAGCGACACTAGTTCAGAATTTTCCGAATTAAAAGAAATCTAGTTATTTAACAATCTCTATTTACTCTCAGTTGAAGCTGGACTCAGCCAGTTTCTGGTCCTGCTGACTTCACTTAACCCTCATTGTGAACGTCAATATCCGTTCAAAGCTAACAACAGTTAATTAAAGTACCAGTCTCGCTTGGTTTACGTGCTAGTAAGTTAGTAAAGTTAATGCTGAATGCAATATGCTACAATTCGCTACTGCGAGATTAAAGTGTATTATAATTAAATTTATAGAATT